TCTATCATCTACCATCTGCTTTTAAAAGGTCTTTTTTTCCCTTTTTTCCAGTGACTAATGATGCATTTAACCCCGGAGAGCCTCTGATCTGAACATCAGACAGTTTCTGCAGCAGAGGAACAGAAAAAAGGAGGTGGGGGAGGGAGGGTGGATGAGCTTCCTGTTGTTCTAACTTGGCTTACTGGTAGGGTTCTCAAATCAAACTAGAAATCTCACCACTTAAGGAAAACCCCACTCAGACCCTTGATCCAGCTGCCAGATGGCCTCACCCTCCTGTCCAGAGCTGTGAGACAGAGCAGTGCTGCCAGGGGAGCCAGGCTGTGCCACTGGCCCCTGTGACAGGTGCCCTCAGCTCTGTCACCTCCTGCATCCTACAGGCACTGACAACACCTTATTCTTAAAGAAGTGATAGCCATTTCCAGTTCTACAGGTGAAATCTGCAGGGATGCCAGGCCTTCTGTTTGCTTCTGCAGCCTCAAAATTTACAAGGAGTGAATGAAAAATCCGTAAGAAGGGTGAAGATTCCTCTGTGTTGGGGTCTGGGATTGTCCCTGAGGGTTAGACAGAGTTTAACAGAGATATCAAGTGTGATTTCTAAGAGCATGGAAGAATTCTGCAGTGCCTGAAATACATGGATGAAATCTCATGCCACAGTCTTTCAGCACAGCCTTGGCTGGATTAGGTTTTCTTCCCAGGAAAGAGCTGGGCAGAATGGTCAGCCCAGCTGCTGCAGGTACTCTGTGGGCAGGGCTGGCACAGCAGGGTCACTGTCACTCCTGCCATGCCAGGAGGGTGTCCCAGGCAATGACTGTACTGCCACTCAAGCTGCCAGTGCTCAAGAGCCCCTATTCACTGTGCCTGAACCAAAATTCACACTGGATTTGGTCTCCAAAACCAAAAGGCACATGGCCTTGATCATGCGTGGGAGAGCCTCCTTTTTTTATTGCAGTTGAGTCTGGAAAAGCAGGAGGTTTTCCTGGAATTGTTGGATTGAAATTTTCCTGGAATTGACACCCATTCCTGAGCCTTGTGCTGCTCTGGTGAGCAACCTCAGGGCTGCACACTCCGAATCAGCCCCTGTGGTACACAGGGTGCAGAGCAAGCAGCTCTGGAAACTGAGCAAGGGGAGGAAGGGGGGAGACAAAGTGACTTACAAGCAGTGAATCACAATCTCCTGTTTGATATCGTGTGTCTCTTTGTGAGGTTCTGTTCAATTCTCAGAGCTGAACAAGAGCAAAGGAGATGGAAACTGCACCAAAGGGGAACACATTGTCACGGTCTAAGCTGATTAAGGCTGAGTGACTTGGAATACACAATACAAATAACTGCAAAATCCTAGAATGCTGCTCTTCCAGAAGCCCTAAACTCCTGTGTCTTGCTTTTCCAGTCTCCAGGGAACAGTTTAACAACTGCTGCTTAGACAGCCCAGCCCAGGCAGGGCTGAAGAAGCTGCGAGCAGCTCCAGGGCTCAGCAGTGCCTGACTGCAGCCTTGTACTGAGCTCTCGAACCCTGGGCCATGAAAATAGCTTGGCACAAAGAATACAGAAACCTCTAACAGGTTTACAGGCATTTTTCCAGCTTTGGCATCTATCTCCACTTCAAGTTTGTAGGCACAAGTCTGCTTTGTGTGTGTTCCTACCCCCCTGCAAATTGTGCTGCCAGAGCTGTCTGTGCTGCAGCCGGACCGATTGACAGCTTTGCCTCCAGCCAGAATTCTGATTCAAAGGAATATCCAATTCTGTGTAATAAAGTTTGCATGAAATTTTTACCTGCAACAATTCCCCAATGTGCTGAACTGCATGATACTGACTTATACAATACATCATTTTAGCAGCAGAGTTAAACAAAATGCAAAGCCAGACTCAGTTTGATTTTTCTCTTGTGATCACAGATATTGTACCACATGTGAGAGCTGTAAGGCATTACTTCCATTATTTTGTAGTATTCAAACATTAAATACAACAAGTGTTTCAATAAAATCAAATGTTTAAACATAGAGTTTGAAAAATATTTCACCTATAAAAATTAAAAATTAACCCCAAAAATGTTTTCAGATAAAAGAATGAAAGTATGTGAAATATTGAAAATGACTACTTCAGTATTATTGAAATACTTTAAATTTTTTAAAAATGAAATGTTAGAATGGAAGAATTTCCATAGACATTTGATTTAGATGAAAACATATTTTCTAACAGAACAATATTCCATTGAAAAAAAATTCCAATTGCATTTTCTAGTGGGCAATTTTTCAATGACATTTTCAGAAGAACAATCTGCATGTGAAAAATTTTCCAACAAGCTCTTGTGAGCTCTTAAAGGCAAGAAGAAGTAGTTTTCAAATAATCCATTTTGAAAGGCAGTTATTATTCTATGTTTTACACCTCTTACAGTAAAAGCAGCAGACCAAACACAGCGCAATTTCCAAGCTTTCTGTTACCTCCTTTCTAACTTAAAATACAAATTGCTGAGAAATTTCCCCAGACTTATATTAAAAGCCATGAGTGATTTTAAAATGGGGTGTGCTATGAATGTTGCTTACCTTAGGTAGGGATCCACACCTGGGATCCACACATGGCAGCCAGGCTGGAGCTCTGGTGTCCAAGCACAGCCTCCAGTTTCAACTCAACTCTGCAGCTTGAATTTCCCTCTTTAGACTGATTTTGAGAATGCATCTGAATTTTGGTGGTACCTGCAAGTCCAGTTATTGACCCCAAATCTCAGATCAAGTGCTATCTAAAATACAGAAACAACCAAAGAATAAATCAACATTAAACTTGTCCCATCTTTGATGAGATCGGGTGGAGAATCTGATTGAGATTCCATTGTGACACTATTTACAGGGAACATTTACAACATTTCCAATTCTCATTTTGTTTTCTTAATTGCTGTTCCCAGTTTTTCAACCACACAACCCCTACCGAAGCTGGCTACGCCTGCTGAGCTTTTGTACATGTGCTGAGCCCAGGTTTGTGTATCTGGGATGTGCATGTGAGGAGGGTGATACCTCACAAGGGAGATTTAGCAGAATGGGAAATACCACAATGACCTACAGCCCAAATTCTGACTCTGCACTTCAAATCTGCTGGTTCAGGACTTGGAATCCACACTGATTCAGGCACTCTGATGTTCAGGGAAAATGATGGCCTCTTTTCAAGATCTGAATGTATTTCAGAAGGTGCAGGGGTTAATTTCCTTCAGTTGAGAGGGACAGCTCTTGGCTTCAGAGCAGAGGCACCTCCCAGCCAGTGTAAATGACAGAAGCCGCTTTGGGCTCCTTTTGCAATGCCACCACAGCCATGGATCTGCTCTTGGACTTCACACCCAAAAGTCAAGAGGGAATAGAGTTTTCAATCCTCTTCCACTGAGCCACAGAGAGATGAGGTTTGTGCAGGGTACAGCACTCAGCTGTGCCATGAACTGCACTGGACAGGGTCTGGTTGTTTTGCATCACAGGAGCAGACAACCACAATGCCCTGTAGTGTCTGCAGAGCTGGGAATTTACAGAGGCACTTGGACATGAAAAAAAAGTCCACTTCATGTATCCATTCCTCTCTTGTTTCACAGAAATAATTAGATCTCTTGTTCTCTGCCACTTTTCCCATAAGGTGGTTTAGCTGTCCTAAATTACAGATCAAAGAGCTAAATGCTAAAGGCCAGGCTAATTCTCTTGTTTCTGGCTGTAGTCTATGAAAGCCCCAGACAGTTCAGAGGGCAATTCATCTCACCCTTAGATAGCCATCTCCAGTAAGGCAGAGAAACAGCTCTTTGGAGGAGTATCTCTGCTCACTGCAAAGGAGCCTCCTCCAGAGTTTGGCATATGCCTTTCCTGTGCTGAAAGTGAAGCGGGACAAATCACATCTGCAGCTTTGTCCATGCAAAGAGGCATAAAGCTGTGGGGAGAGGAGATCACTGCAGAAACAACCCCAGCATTCTGAGACAGACCATCCCCTCTGCCCCACCTGCCATCTGTTGCAGCCATTCCAGCAGATGGTAGCGATCCCTGTGGCACAGCCAGTGGCACACGGACATCCTCCACGCGCTGCCCGGTGAGCAGTCAGCTGCTCGCTCCTGGAGGCATCTGACGCTGACCTGGCTGAACTTTTTGCTGAAGCAGCTGAGAAATGTTCCTGCAGTCCCTCCCATTGCTCTGCTGTGGACTCAAAAGCTTTCACAAGAGGGGCAGGAACAAACCACGGGCAGCTGTTACACAAGGTTGCATTATCAGGACATTAGAAATGAATGCAAAATGCTCCTGGAAGGCTTAATTCTTCCAACTGATGCTTTCTGATTTCTGCTTGAGCTACATATTCTCTGAAGAATCATCCAATTTGTTCTATATATACCCCAACTGGTTGTTATTCTTTGCCCTGGAGGGAGTTGCAAATTGTGTATGCAGCCTGTCCTTTTTGTAAAGAGATTGCACATGGAAGTATCCCCCTGCTTGCACAGTCCAAGCAGATGGCACTGGGCAGGTAAAGAGCTATTCTCTGAGAAGTGCTAGCTATGAGCATTCTTTCAAACATTAATAACTTGAGAAACACAGCAGCAGCAATTAGATGTAAAGTGACATAAATTACTTCTCGAAGATTCCATTAGTTAAAAAATTATGTGCATAAAAGAGAAGAGCATAAAAGAAAAAAGAGCATAAAAGAAAAGTATAGTCCCACAAGCCAACATGAGCTGACCCAGTCTACCTGAGAGACACCCACAGCAGAAGTTTGTTGCAAAGGCAAGGGAGCAGCTAATCTAGTGAAGGCAACCAGGCCAGATGTTCTGTTTAGATTCTGATTGTTTTTTTTATTGTGGGCTGCTGTACATGAGTCCACAGCACCAAGATGGGGGACTGGGAATGAATGCAGAAGGAAAGGAAATTTGTTATTAAATGCATCCTTAAAAGAGAGGGATATGGCAAGGAATGAAGGATCTAAGGACAATGGGATGGACCACTCTTCATCTGTAGGTCAATTTTTATTGCATTTCAGATCAGCAATTGCACGAGTCATTATATTCGGGTCAGTTTTATTGGATCAATTTGGCAATCTCAGTACAGCGTCTAATGTCGAGAGGAAAGATTTCAAAGACTCAAGAGATTTAGGAGTCTAAGTCACACTCATGAGCAGTGGAACTTAAACTCTCTGAGGACTTAAGTGCTTTTGAAAATGGGACATGGTCTCCTCAGCTCTACACACACTTCTGGAAGCATTATCCCACTTGGCCACAGCACAGCGTGGTGCCCGCTGGTCTCCTCGCTGTCAGTCACGGCACACGGGTCAAGGACTGAGTGGTTCACAGCAATTACTGGCTTATGAAATTCTCCTTTCCTACTAAGAATAGTCCCTCCTGTCGAGAGCAGGCATGTTGGCAGGCAATGATGTTGTAGAGAAATATTTCAGTGAGGAAACAGAGAAACCTGTTGTCCGAAGAAGACACTGTGGCATTTTCCGTGAGTTAAAAAAAATAAATGTTAAAACCTGAGAGATGTACAGATGAATGTGATGCAGAGGTAGGGATAAACTAAATGAAACGTTGGCAGATCTGGAAAGATCTGATGTGCCACTGGGACAGTGAAGTCTGTTTCCTGTAAGCACCAGGACTACAAAGGAAACCTGCAAACTGTTAAATAAAAATGGGGTTTCAAAAGGAAGAGAAAATTTTCATTTTAGTTAATGCCAGGAGGAATAGATATTTTCTTCTCTTTTGATTAAAATGGCTGTGGAGAAACAGGTCTACAGAGCTGCTCTGGCCATCAGCAGTTGTGTTGCTGCTGCTCCCAGCCAGCCTTCAGCTTCCTCAACTGGGTATGTTCAGAATCTCACCTCAGGGGAGTGTGGGGCACATCTCAATTCCACATCCTGGAGCCCAGTCCCCGTGCCTTATCCCTTTCAGATTCCATTTATTTGGTCTCATCAGATGTTTTCAATGAGACAAAAGAGATCCATATTTTGAACATAATAAATTACCCCAAGCTCCCTCTCAAGATCTTTGTCCTCATGTGTTAAACAGGTGCTGTCCCTTAAGAAATGCCAGTGGATCAGGAATTGTGGTGGTGGCCCCACAGCCTGGATCTCTGGCTCTTCAACACAGCTCCAGTCCCGTTCCAGACATGCATCCTGCCAGCAGGAAGTGCCCAGCCAACAAGGGTGAAACAGGAGTGAGCTCTGGGCACCTAACCAGAGACTTCTGTCAACCCCTGCTCCACCTGGATATGTCCTTTCCTCACCAAAGAGCTCCTTGTTACTTGGGGCTTTTTATAGCTGATCTTCATCTATCCAGACGGTTTTCCGCTGCTCTTCCCCGATCCTGTCCTTTATTGTGCGGATAAGATCCTCAATGCTGCTCCACGCCTCTGACTCCACAGAGGCATAAAGGCAAGGCAGTGCTTCCAGTTCTTTCTCTTTCAGGCGGCACATCCGTAAAAACTCATCCTCAGTCTCCGGCTTCGGCAGCAGTTTCCTGTATCAAATGAGCAGACCAAAAATAAATGTCTTGCATTTTAAGTTAATCCTGTAGTCCCAGCTGTCCCATCAAGAATTTATTTTCTTGTAACTACTTACAAGCAATAAAAGCAGTGAGTAATGCAGCCACATCAGGTCTACCATCCCCTTACCTCCATGCTGCCCCCAAGGAGAAATATTTGCTATGGGGAAACAATTCAAGAGGATTGAATGGAGGGAGAGTGCAAGTGTTTACGAGCGCTCCTCTTCCAGCTTGCATTACCTTAAGAAATGCTGTGGGAGTGCTGAGCATGGAGAAAACCACATTTTCTTCTGTCTCATCCTCCCACAATGCTCATTGCCACCAGTGACAGTGAAAGAGTGCCAGATTTGGGGAATTCCTGCTTTCTCTGGTTGTTAGATTTCAGGGAGGAGTCATGGGAGGAAAGAGTGCACATAGAAGTAGCAGATGGAGAGGGATGAGGTTCTTTATTTCTCTCAGTGAGAACATTATAGGACTCAAGAATTATTCACTGAATAAGACGGAATATCAAATATGCAAAAGGTTTGACATGTTACCTGAACCTCTTGATGTTTTTCTCTGAGACTCTTATAAAGAGAACAATAGGATATATCTTGGCTTTGATTAAATCCTTCGTGCAGCTTATTCCAGCTTCCAAGAGACAATGCTTGTTCTAAAAACAAAGTCATAACAGTGTCACAAAGGAAAATTCATTGCTGTGGAATCTCAAGATAACGATACCTATCCCTTATGGGGTCATTTGGAAAGCACTCTATTTACCATTGTACTGATGTAAAACCTTTTAATCAAATATACATTTAAAGTCCAGCTCCTCCTACTGTTTTAAAACTAGTCAGTCAAATAACAGCTGAGCTTAACAGCTTTCTAAAAAGGTTTAAAATGGAAATGGATTGCTCTATAGATGAAGAATATGATAAAACACCAGTTTTACATATAGACACAAACACACAGACTTGCTTTTTGCTCAGAAAGAACATCTACTGCAACTACTTGTGAGACAAAAAAACATCACTTTAATTCTCCTTTTTTTTTCATGCTGTGCATCAAATTTACTCTACTTGACATCAGATCTGTGTCTTGGGCATTGTAATCTTTGTTCTTTACACCCCTGTGTCTGGGTTTCAGGCTTCCCTTTCCTTTGTCTAGGTCCTTGTATCTCTTTCTCGTGTATTCATATATACTTATGATATGAAAAGGAAATGAATAAAGGATGGAGCACAGAAAATGAAAGGATATTTAACTGCATCTATGTGGGTCATCACAGGGAATGAGGGGGAATACAAAAGAATATGGCTGAGGATGTGAAAGAAAAGGAAAAGTAAGTGCACAAATAAAAACCATTTGGGGGAACAAATAAAAATCTGAGATTGAAGAAAGGCAGGAGAGAGAATGTGCAACTGTAAATTGGCCAGTCTGTTATCCAAGACATTGCAGAGGTTCACAGAGAAGGGACACAGAGCACTGTGAGCACCTTGAGAGCAACAGCCTCGATGTTGGCAGGTACAATACACTCGTATGTGTTCAGATTCTTCTCTCTGCTGAAGATGACTGTCTCTGTCCTTTGCTTCCTTAAGAACTCTTCCTTTGTTACAATATCTAGGAGGAGATGTGGATGGGGACAAAATCAAATTTACAGCAGCAGAACACATAGAAAAGTATCCAGTAGTACTTTACATGGGATGTGAGGGTGGTTCAGGGAAAGAGGATGAGCAATGAATTGTCTTAACAGCTGCCTCATTTCTTCCATTGAATTCAATTAAAGCCTAATCTGATCACAGCTGAGCATCTCAGCTATATCCTGCACCAATGAGTCCTTGGGCAATTACTACAATGCTATGAAGGCATTAAATTAAAACAGTAAATACAATTCCAGCACCTAATGTTATATAGTAACTGTTCAGCAATGGAGAATGCTGAGAAGTGCTAAAAAAAGGTGGCCTCTTCAGTACAGGATCCTAAAATAAGGATTTAGTGTTCCAACATTTGTGTTTAAAGTTTCAAAAAAATTTGGCTTAGGTTGCAATGTGTGATACCAGCCCCCTTGTGAATTGCAGCTCTACATCAAAGCTTTTGTTTTATGTTGCAAGACAGGGGATATTTATTATAATACTTAACTTCTCAGTTTCTCTGTCTGCATGACTGTAAGGCTGCATACTATGCTGTGGGTATTCAATATTAGTGTAAAAATGAAACGTCAGCTCTGTTTAATGCTGGGTTGTATACAATCCTGCCCTGCAGCCATCACGGCACTGCATACTGCTTTAATAGTAAATACTTAGCATGGAAGAAAATCAGTCTTTCCAGTAGATCAAATGCACAATCTTCACAGCTTGGATGAGACAGAAACCTAAAGTCGCTCTAGGGAAGATATTCCTCATAATAGCAAATACTAGAAACAAATTAATCAAAATTTCACATTGCCTAGATATGCAGTATGCAAACAGTATGCAAACAGAAAGAGCACTCACAGCATTTCAGTCTCTGAGGGGCAGCCTAGCAACCACACAGCATACACATGGATAATATTTATAGACACAGAATCTCATAACCATGTGTACTGGCTGTCTCAAAAACATTCAAATATCCCAGATAGTCTCAAAAAGCAGGATTTACAGCTACACATCACTCTGATGTGACTTGAAGTACCTCAAGCAACTCTCGCATGTGCATTCCCCTACGTGTGCATGCATATATATGTTCCTATTTCCAACACTGAGGGCTGACAGTCATGGCCCTCTCTTATCCCATTACCTGGCTTGCATATGTTGAATTCCAGGGCACCTCCAGAGTTGAGAAGCTTCTGCACCAAGGGCTTGGCCAGCATGGTGGGGGTGAACAGCACGGGGCGCCTGCGCTCGCAGTGGATGGGTCTCACCAAGCTATAAGGGATCAGACTGAGCCTCTTATCGATTTCACTCTCGGAATCCACATCTGAGCAAAGAACAAGACATTTATCCTCTGGGTTCTTCTCCATCAATATTGGGAGAAAAGAAAGGAGGCACACATAAACCAGAAATTACATGGTTAGTCATATGTGGTCCTTCCCTTTCATTGGGGTTGTCTTTACTATACTCACAGCACTATGATGTCCAACCTGATACTAAATAATTCAACTGCCTTTTGCTTTCAAGAGATTATTTCTTAACCTCTTCAACTCAACATTTGCTTGGAGACTTTCTGCTTGTTAGCTTGACTTACTCCAAGTTAAATGTTTTGGAGCAAAAGGCAAGAAAGCACCTAGGAAGAACTGCAAGCCAAACAGGACATTTCAGTGTTCTAAAACTGCCTGTGAAGGCTCAGTGCCCCAAGCACTTAGCAAAATCAGGTTTGATTATAATTGCTGTTGAACTTTTGCAGAGTGGACTACAAATGTAAGACCTGTGATATATTTTGCAGCCATGCTGCTCTGTAGATGTTTATGTAGGCCTTTGTGTCAGTGCTGTGTAAAAGCTATTTTAGATTTGTACCTTCCAGTTTATCAGGCAGCTGCTTCTTCCCTTCGGATGAGCTCAGTGCCAGGCCCGAGGGCCAGCCTGTGACAATGCGGACCCGCTCGTTGCTGTTCATTCGTTTGTATTTGTTCTCAGACCTACTGACAAACTGAAAAGGTGAACAAAATAAGGAGAGATTTGAGCCTCATTTCTTGCATTATTTATACTCCCATGTATTCATCAGCTGACACTCATTACCGATGAGATCTGAATCATTTGTGTCTATCAAAGACAGGACTCCATGGATCTGTGGACTGAATTCTAAGACTCTTTAAATATCATAGATCTGTTTCAGAGCCTGTGTTAATCCCCTTTGGGGTTTGTTGTTTTGTTCTCTGCTCTTAAGAGGCATCTTTTCCCTTCACAAAGCTCCCTGCTACCACCAGCACAAGCACTGATGTGTACATCATACCCAGAGTATGTGCACTAATGTATCACAGGTTATACCCAAACTGCCTCTTCTTTGCTCTGCCAAAGAGACTTAAAAACTCCCAAATGGCATCTTTTTAACAGTCATTTTACACGAGAAATAGGGTTTGTGTTTTCCTTCCTCATCCACCTGCCTATTCCTCTATCCAAACATTAACTCCTCCTCCTGTGTATTTGCTAACCTTTCCCAAACACCTTCCTTCACAAAGCTTTATCTTGTACCCACACAGTCTGTCATGCTCAGAGTCACTGGCCCACAATTAAAGGACTATTTTCTGATGGAGCCCTATCTCAGAGACTTGAAGATTTGATCCAGCCCATCGGATTTGTCTTTATGGTAAAAACAAAGCACATTTCAGCCTCTGATGGCAGATGTGTGGGATTCCTCAAGGTACATCCATAATGGAAGCCATGCTCTTTAAAACAAAGACCCCACATCACAACAGAAAACACAACCCATCCTTCTCCTTCATGCATTAAATCTCTTTTTGATAGGAACAAATTCCGATACAACCTCTAGGCCTGAGCTGGGATTTCTGGGTGAATTAGGATAGCCTGAGAATATCTACTGTTCAGATCCACTATTTCAGACATTGCACTGAGGATTTGAACTTTATTACCTGTAAAATCTGGCCCAAAAGAAAGCTTGCTCTGGATAGGCGAGGGCTGGTTTTTGTGTCGTTCTGCAGGGCAGGCTCCTCTGGCTGCAATGTATTCTAGTAAAAATAACATAGGAGTTTTTCTCCCTCCCCCTCTTTTTTGTGTTTTTCAATCATAACATTTGAAAAACAAAAGATTTTTAGATATTTTATATTTCCAATAAAAGGAATAGTGATTGATACCTATCCCAAATACAATGTTCTAAACAAACAGTGGACATTGCATGGCCTGTGCTGACAAACACTGCTTTTTTCACTGCTCTTCTCATTCCTTTGTTCATAGACTGCTCTCCACATCTAAGAAAAAGATAATTTCTGCACCAAGAAAGAGCATGCACAGCTTTTGCTTTCACAAGCACCTCTGCCAGTGATGTCTGTCCCTTTGATCAGTGGGGCTGGGAGCACAGAAGGAATGTGTGACATTTAACCTTGACTGAAATCAAGCACAAGCACTGTCTACCTGTCTCTGCAAAACTTAGCAGCATGAAAAGTCTCCCAGACTCTAAAAATAACTTACAGTAACTAATACACCAGGAAGGCAGTTTTAATTATGTAAAAATGGAATTTGGGGGTCTAAAGAAAGAAAAACCAAATTGCTGCGATGATGGAAAATGAAAAATTAGAAGGGCTGTTGTGTGTGAAGGCCTGATAATCCCAATTCTCTCCACAGCATCCACACTAGAAGAGAAAGGTCTTTCTGAAGTGGGACAACAGACTCTGTGGTTTAGAGGCTTATTCACAATAGGAGAGAAATAATTCTGATTATTAACTGCAAGGACACAGCTTCTTCTTCACGTGTACATGAAGATGCATTAAACATTTACAGGCAAAGAAGCATGAGAGGTAAATGGAAAATAAAACACAGAACAGAATTTGGACTTTTAAAGTGTAGTCCCTCCCAGCTGGAAGGGTTAATAGAGAGCCAGATCTGGGTTCATTCCCAGGGACATTATTATTTAAAGCAAACAGAAGGTGCCCATTGCCTGACACAATCAAAACCTACAGATAGTGTAAACAGGAATTTCTTTAAAATTATTATTAAAAATGAAAAATGAAAAAGCAGCAGCAGGGGAGTATGAGGTGTTAAAAGACTTTGTTTGTAGATATTTACCCGCAGTGCCCGAAGGGTGTTGTAGGAGTTTTCTGGCTCGTCTTTGCTTCCTCTGTGCATCAACCGCTGCAGCTTCACCAAAAGGAGTTGCTGGGCTCTGAAAAAAAGGACAAAATCATACAGATCAAGATATTTTGAAATGACTCACAAGAAAGCTGGATTGCAATGGGTCTGTGCCTACAGAAAAGATTAAATAGAAATAGCAGTGAGGACTGACTGAACCATGCAGTAAAAGCAGGAACGAAACAATACAAAGGACTGCAGTGCAGTTAAGGATTAAAGAATATCCATGGAATATTTGTATATGGTACTTTTTGAGCAACCCACTTTATTTTTATTTTTTCAGGTAGCATCTGGAATCTCCATTCTTAAGTTTTATAGCTCATACTACAATTTAACATCCTATCTCAAAATTTAAGGCATAGACACCTCTTTCCTTACAGCAGTAATTAAGTTCCCTGTTTCTAGATGTCTGTTCTCAGTGATGGTCACTCAGTATCACTCTCACCTGCTGTAGCTGGGAATGGTCCCCATCTCCAGGTCCCTGTCAGTGAAGGGATCCACCCTGGCACACAGCCACTCACACCTGCCCTGGTACATGGTGTCGAGAATGTGGACGATCTCATCACATTTCACTGACAGGGAGCAGCAGTCCAGCTGGCTGGAGATGTTCAGGTTCAGGCGGATGTGAAAGGAGTCCCCCGAGGTGATGAGCCCTTCCTCCAGCTCCGACAGCAGCTTGCGGTACCCTGCAGGGAGGGAAGGGGTGAGGCAGGATCCCACACTCTGCTCTTGCTGCATTCTCTCTGGGAGAAGCCACAGCACGAACTCCTGAGGTTCCTCTCAGAGAGGTTTGTACTTCCAGAGCGCTGCTTGCAGTAGCTCCAGCAAGATGATGGGCCTGCATCTCAGAGACACTGATGGGGCACTGACTCAGGGACAGCCCAAGCTGCTGCTGTCAGCTCTGTGGGAATATTCTCATTATAATGCTACTTTTAGGTAACTCCATTCTCAGTACTCGCCACATGACCTGTAGAACAGAGAACTCAGCAAAGACACAGACACAGCCATAGCTCTGCCCTCTAAGTACCATGTGAGTTCTGCTAGCAATTTTAATGACAAGCTATTCCCCTTATTATTAGCTCTAATTGGCACTCCCAGAATCTATAACATGCTTTAACTGCAGTTAAGTGATGCTCAAAAATTTGCAATAGTCTTTCCTACCACTGAAAACTTCAAAGAAAATCAAAGGCATCACTTCCTGCGTGATCTATGCAGCTGAAATTCTCTAACCAACATAAAATCACGAATGCCCATTTATACACATCAGTAAAGAATGGATTTTGGAATGTACTTTTTGATCCATAACCTGAAATTATCATTATAGAACCTGAACACTAAAATCAAATTCTGTTCGCCACACATGAACTCCAGATGTTAAAGATAAGATAAAGCCACAAAGGTAATAAACAGGGCAACTCCATCAGGTAAATGCTAAATCGACCAGCTGCATAAAGATCATTCAGCTTGCCACATTGTATTGCAGAAAACTGTACATAAAAATAAGCTAGAGCATGTTTCATGAGTCATGTTGCTATTGGCCACCATGTAAATTTTTCAGAATCCTGTTGACAAGCACATGTTGTTTTTCTCCTCAGATACCAGGCTAAAAGCTGAAGCAGTTCCACAGAGGAGCTGTAATTAACATCAGTGGCATGCTCCAGATTTATCCCAATATAAAGATATGGTGGTCCTGTCATTCTCTTCCAGACAAGTTGCTATAAAAGCCCTGAGACTAATTGAGATAAGAAATATTTTTGGTCTTACCTTCATGATTTGATTTATATTGGAGTGTTACTGGACCACTGCACCTCTGAATTGTCCAGTGAACTTCTTCCTTTGTGCAAGTATCCAAAGGAACACTTTGATTTTCCCCTTTAATGCAGCCCTCCAACTAGATATGAAAGACATATTACTCTCCAGTGCAGGTTCAATCTCTGAGTCAATTAAACCATTTTTTTAAAGTGCCATGATCTTTTTCTTATTAAACAATGCAGACACTTTGTTATCAGGATGTATATTATATCCTAATTATATAATTCTTTTTCTCTCAAATTAGGAATGCTAGCAGTCAACAGAAATGCAGCACTTGGGCAATCCCAGGCTTCCCTGGGAGTAAGAAGTGCAGGAATATAAATTGTGAGGGGGTGTTTTTTCCTCTTGGAGGCATTTAAACAGGAAAATGGTTTGGGAGCATTGTCAATGGAGGGAAAACTAGGTAAAGAGAAACTTGGCATAAACACTGTTGAATTTGGCTCATGGGATGCCAGGGACAGCACAGGTGGGTGGGCAGACCCCCAGTGCTGCTTGGTGACGATTTCATGCTCACCAGGAGGATCTGGTGTCCCTCCCGAAGGCCAGCTTTCTCTGCAGGGGAGCCTGTCTTGACAGAGCTGACGAAGCTGCCTTTGTCATTGCCCCCGAGCAGGGTGATCTCGGAGTTGAGGCTGTCCCCGTTGAGTGTCACGCGCTGGATCGTGTGACACGAGCTCCTGATGTGGCCCACGGATGTGACAGAGGGACGGAAGGGTCTGTGTCCATGAGAGGAAGGCACAATTGGTTATCTCACTCTGAGTTAAATGCATGCAAGAGAAATGAGAGATATACAAATAAACTTCTAGCATTATCAAGCACTGGGATCTAAGGACTCCAAAAGAAATCCTCCTCGTTACTGCATCAGTCCTGGAGAAGAGCATCTGGATTGCTCCCAGTGCATCTCTGAAAACTCAGTGTATAACAGCTCTCCACTCAGCAAGCTCTTGCAGCAAGATAGCAAGATCACAAGGAGAAATTGAAGCCTTTAGAACATTTTGTCTGCCTTGAAGTTTTTGAACTTTCAGGATGACCTTCACGGGTTTACAGTACATGAAAGGGCTCCAAGATAACGTTATACTGCTGCCACTATAATCACTTCTGCTGTTATAACTTCAGCAACTAATAAATAAATAGAGAGTTTCTACCACAGCACCCTTTTCTCTCAGTCTCTAAGGGAAGTAAACTGGCATCTCAAATACCTTTCCAGTGAGAACTTTCTAAATATGGAGTTGACATGCTCAAGCTCATAGGCATCCAGGCCTTCTGACTGATGAGAAGAAGAGGAAGAGTGCACTGAAGGAGCTCCATGTGACTGCCTGTCGTGACTGTCATCTGGAAAGAGTAACAAGAATTATAACAAGTCCTAGATAAAATGACAAAGATGGAAAAGGGGAAAATGAATTTTAATTGATCCCAGCCACAGCTGAAGTAGGAAATTCTTCTCGCAGAGGTATGATTAATATCCATAGGATGTGTCACAAGGAATGCCACTCTCACAGAACAAGAAGTGGAAAGGGACCTCTGGAGACTGTCAAGTCAAAGGTCAGTGCAGGGTCAGCTCAAGGAGATTGCTCAGGACTTTGTCCAGCTGGGTTTTGGTATCTCCAAGGATGAAGAGTTTGACTAAAACTCCCTGGACAATCCTGTTCCAGTGTTTGACCACCCTCATGGCAACAAAACGAATCCTTTTCCCACTTAGCTCTTCAGGAGTGACTGCTTTCCCCTTCTCACTGACCCTTTGTTTTCTTGATTTACTCTCAGGCTTTGTGTCCCATTTACTTAGAGCAGGGCTGATTATCTGACAGTCTCTGTAGCTGGGGAGTTGATCATGTATTAGCTCATAATTCAATTATACATGATATCCTCTTGCTTACCATCCAGCTCCAAAGCATCACATCCAAAGCTGTCATTGTCCTCTTCAGCCAGGCTGGAATTAAAAACAAAGCATGAGATAATGGAAGAGAGACAAAGCTGAACACTTCCAAGCTTTCAGCAGATTGCCAGCTTCAGTAGATTTCATTAAGCTGTGAAGGAGGAACTTCTGTGAAAAAGGAAGATGTTGGAGGTGTTGCATCAGGCAATGGGGCAGCTGTGAAAAAATAAGTAAGTAACATCCATCCTTGAGGGTCCAGAGAAGACACAGAAAAGGGCAGAAGACGTGTCAGCCAGCATGGGAAGCAGCACGAAGGTTCAGAAGGAAGAACTGCCAACAGCAATGAGGGAATGCAGATTTTGCTGAGGACAAGAGGAAGCTGCTGACTGATGGTCTGGTGTGTGACTCCCAGCACACTTGGTTCAGCACAGACACAGGGCTGCACCATGCCTGCTATGCATGCACTGCACCATGGGGGCTTTCCACTACAGAGCAAAAAGCCACAAGTTCACTTATGGACAGAGGGACTGCAAGGGAAGTTACTGAGGTGCAGCACGAGTAATTTCTCCGCTTGATTTAAAGTACCTGAAGCATTTTATAGCAGTTTCAGGGTACCTTGCATGGCTACTCAGGTACCTGCAGGTAAAGTGCTCCGGGCTTTTGCACAGGAACTGCCACAGCTCTAGACCCAGCCCAGCTCCCAGTGACACAGCCACTCCTGGCAAAGGTGATCAGGTTGGCTGGCCTTAAAACCACTCTAAATTTACTAAGATTTTGCTCTTACAGGGGTATTGGGGCTGTCCAGTCAAGTGAGTGATCTGTCAGCTTCACTAGAAGGACTTCATTAAAGCATGTCCTTTGGTTGCAAAGCTGTTTAAATAACAGCTTGTTGTTTTTCCCATTCAAAATGATTTGTAGGTCTCCTGTGGAGCTGATATTCCTCATATTTGGCTTCAGCTGAAGGGTGAATTTTTGCAGCCAGGCTGCAGAGTATCAGCTATTTTTACACCATGCATAAGCAGGGAAATAATGTACCTTTTCCTACATTAAATGATGATCTCACCTTTTTTTTCACACAAATTAAGAAGAGATGAACTGTGAAACCTGCAACTTGGCTTGCAAACAGCAATTATTCTGTATTATGTTCACAAATAGGTTCCAAAAATTTATCATGCTAATTATAAAGTTATAAACTACAGGGAGTGTTTGGGCAGACTCTTGAGACTCTTGACTTTGGTGATTATCAGCTCAACAAAGTAAGCCCACATTCAGACCTGTTCCAGAGTACCTTTTCTTTCCACATGAAGAATATCTAATATGAGGGAAAAATTCAGCTTTCAGTACAACTCAGTCTTCCAATGCCTTACCACACAGGACAAAATAGAGTCAGAGTTACAGTGAAATAAATCCACAAGATGAATAATCTCCATGTAATCTCTACTGTGTTCTGTAATACACTGCAAATATTGAAAAGTTCAGACATGGCAAAGGCTTCTCAAGCACCTGCAGCACAAAACATTCAAATCATTAATAAAAAACCCCATTTCTCCATCTTGAATTAATACAACACACTATAAAAAGGGACTTGGAGGACAACGAAGTAGAAGCTAAGGGAGACTAAAATAAACACTGCTTAAATCCTCAGCAGCCTAGAAAATTATGTGGGAGAACCAGCTGAGGATGGCCTCAGTGGAAAGCTGTCTTGCAAACCTATCCAGAGAGAAAGGCAGAACTGGAAGTCTGCCCAAGATCAGCTTGTTTTGAAAAACATAAAAATCTGAATAAAGTTCTAATAAAGATTAGATATTAAAAACAGGTCTAATAAAGATCTAAACTCCCAACTATATTGCTTTCTTCTAAATTGGTCTGCTCTGTTATTTTCTCCTTCTGCTTGAGACCTTTAGGGAATGTATTTGTGTCTCCTGGTATTTCTGATGCAGACACTGATGCTGTTGACACCACACCAACATAGCATGTCTGAATATCACATTGCAAAAAACCTTTTAGAAAAGGGGTCAGTGTCCTTTCAGGAACTGTGAGGCTGGAGAGGTCTCTCTCCTTCCTGCCTCCAACTTCCCACTCACCAGCTGATGTGATTTCACTGCCAGGGGAAGTCCATGGGACCCTGACCTGACAGAAGTGGAAGCTGCAGCAGAAGGTGAAGCCAAGGGCAAAGCCTCTCTCCTCTTCCTTCTCTGCTGAGAAACAGACCCTGAGACTCTCAAAAACCACCTTCCTCCTCCACTTCTCCCCTACACTCTTCACAGATGTGCAAGCAGCTCTGCTCTACTTTGGCAGCTCATAGAGTAAAGGGGGGGCTTTAAGAGAAGGGGAAAGAACAGGGATGTGGGCAGCATGGAGCTGAGGGGCAAAAACTGAAGCTGTGTCTGGAGGTAGAGAGAGCACTTTCTCCAACAGCATCAGTGCCAAGTCATTCCAATCCTGTTTGTGTTTCTGTCCATTTCAGTCAGTGCTGCAGTGCTATCACTGTGTCACTCATCCCAGCTGCACTGTCAGACACTCCTGAGTGCTTTGGACAAAATGCGGGATGAGAGGCTGAGCCTTGAGAAGTTTGAGTTAATCCTATGCCTCTTCAACCAGAGGCAAACACGAGGACCTCTACAGCCCTTTTTCCCTTGACCTGGTGCCATCAGGCTCAGGGCAGGGCTCCCCACGTGTGACCCACCTGCAGTGAGGGGTGTCCTCTTTGCAGCGCCGCATGATGGAATCGTTCCCGGGAGGCTCCGGGGTGGTCGACATGATGCTGTCATTGCGACTTCGCAGGGTTTGCTTTGAAAGAGAGCCAGAAAAGGTGTCAGAAAGGTTATCTGGCTGAAATGTGCTCTAACTTCTAACTCACAGCAGCATCAGCAATGGTGCTCTGCACTGGCTGCACTCTGCACTGAGAAGCACACACAGAAAAAGAAGAGAAGTTGATTCTAGCTGTGCAGAATCCAAGAGCACTCGTATATCCCAGTTTTTAGCACAATGCACAGCTTGTGTGCTGCCACTGCACCTTCTCCTGTGACCACATAACTGCCTCATTTACTGAGCCATTGTAACTTTTGTGTGTGGCACAGACATAGGAGGAGGGGGATGAAAAGCTGTATGTGTACTTATACAAATATATATATATATTTGGAATGAGGAAGAAAAATACTGATCTACATATATTAAATAATTAATCCTCCAGTACACTGAAAACTGAGCCCAGAATTGCAATAGGGGGAAGACAGTATAAGTCATCTAAACATCCAACAGATATTCCAAAAATCCCAGTTAAGCTTATTACAAGTGGCAGCAAGTGCTTTCCTGGCTATTCTTGAGTATAATTTTAATTTCCTGGGGGCAGCATTTTTCACGGTGTTCTAGAAAGATGTTTTGTTCTTTGTTATTAACACTCTGCAAGAGCACTCTCTCTATCTGCCTGTCCTGCTGTGTCAGTGCCCACATATGTATAATGGAATATCTACCTTGGAAGATTATGGGGATACAGCAAGCAGGGAAGAAATGTTTTGACTATGGTATGCAGAAATTTCCAACTGTGTTCTGCACCCCTTTCCTCACTTACTATTACTTATAGACAGGAAAAGCATTATAGAACTCAAAAAACCCTTAAAATTTTCTCAGATAAGTTACAAAGCAGCTTTTAAAGCAAATCTCATTCTTCTAAAAGTAAATGTTAAATGGCATAAGGAGACAGCAAGAGGTCATAAATACTCTGAAATATCTTTAAATAAACGTAAACCAATTCTGTGGTTTTGGGAAAGGCTAATAACACAGTTCTAACAAAATGCTGGTAAAAGGATTAAGGGAGCTTCTGACAAGGGCCTTGAATGGGATCACAGCTGGGATGCTGGGCAAGTGCTAATACTGAGTTGTGAAAGCTCTGAACCACATTAGGAGAGATGGCTGTAGACAGACAAGGGGCATCCTTACAATCTTGGTGACTTCACAGCTGCTGATGGAGTTACTGATGGACACAGAGGAGCTTGTGTCCGTGCGGCTGGTGCTGCCCTCGGCCCCATCTTCATCCTGTGCTCTGACTGCTGCACTCACCAGACAAGGGAAACACACCAGACAAAACACACCAGAGAGAAGCATGTCAGAGCACTTCCAGTGCACAGCCCTTCACAGATGTGCCACTGCACTTGTTTTCTTTCCATTTCTGCTGGTCTTGTACTGGACAGGGGCCCTGGACACATTCCTGTCCTGCAGCTCTGGCTCCCGTTCCTTCCCTGGCAAAGCACAGAAATTCCCACCCTTCTGCACAGACTCCTGCCTGCTTTGTCTCTCAGCTCTGTCCTAGATGTTTGTAATAGATCTGTGAATGCTATTTGAAAAATTAAAGAAGGATTGTTTCATGAATATATGTTTCAGTTTCACCACCTGAATCTGACATCCTGCAAGTTTGGCTCATAGAATTACATTTTGTTACAACAAAGAATTTACAACAGGGACCAAGAAGCCTGAAATCCATCAGCAGCCCCAGGTAACACAGAGTGAATGTGGACTCCTTCCCTTCCTCAGCACCTCTAATTGGTACTAATGTTTCACACTGCCTGACAGCAAAGCTGCTGTTTAACATGGAGTTCCTTGGAGCAGGAGCTGTGTTTCTCAGGATATTTTGTCCAACAGGGGCACACACAACTACTGAAGGAAATGCTGTCTCTGATGGTGTTTGGTGTTGGAGGGGTAGTGTTACACAAACAAGAGGAATTAGGAATAGATCAAACATCAATGTACAGCAACATATTTGGTAACTTGGCAGCTGGCTGGGGCATGGGTCAATCCCCCTCTCCCAGCCTTTGCAATGCTTTAGATTTAAAATTAATTCCCTTTTGCTGAAGGACAAAGGAGCTCATTAGACAATCACTAGATTAGGGCCTTTTCAGCCTGAATGATTTTTCCAACAGCAAAAAGAGAATGGTATAATGATTTTTAGTACAGATGTTACACAAATGACTTTACAACTTTTGTAAACTAAATGGAAAACTGAGAAAACAGAAAAATTAGCTAAGCTGTGGGCTGCACATTGTGTGCCTGGGGAGGTATCTTGGGATGGAGAGGACAATGAAGTAGAGCACTTGACTATTTTAAATCATTACATTTGTAACTGTGAGAGAAAGTGTTGGCTTTTTTTTACTGACTTGGACTTAGTTAAAATCTTCCCTGGTTGGCATATTTGTTAAAACAACTTAAAGGGATTTAGTGAAAGAGACAAAGCAATGGAAAAGGAATAAGGACATGGGTGCTCTTTCTGACCTTGAAAGTCTGATGTTTTGTTCATGCTGACAGGGGATTTAGCTCTTGGACTTATCTAAAAGAAAGAGGACAAAAATCAGCACAAATGCAGAATATTTACCACACACTGTAAACCAGATATTTTCACCACCTTTTTTCACTGTTATGTTGTAATATACTTGCCCTCCTTTAAACAACAGGACCCAAAATTTAGAAGATATTTAGGTATCTAAATACCACAGCAGTGATGAAGGATGAGCTACCTGACTACTTTTGAATGCCTGGCCCAAGTGCATTGCTTCCAGATTCTGCTGAAGAAACAAAGAGACAAAAGGTGAAGTGGGTGCCTTGGGACTGGTTTCAGGCTGCTGTTAATACAACAGGCATCCTTTTGGAGTGTGCAATGTGAAAAATGCAGCTCTATCGTCATAAGTAATAATGACAGTCAGAGCTCAGAAAGGTTATGAAGGGCAGGGAGAATTCAAATGCAGATGAAAAGAAAGAGAACCTCAAAAGCCCGAATGTTAGATTTTTGTGGGGTTTTATTACAGTTCATGAATCCAGCATCAGATAATAGCCATGTGAATGCAGCTAGTCAGGGAAAGCATGAACCTAACTCATGCTACCCCTTCCTGTTAGGGGTGAGGAAATTGCCATAATTTAATTCTAAATTAGATAGCTAATTTTGCTCTAGACTGTGTCCATTTCTTTCTATTTTTCCTTCCAGCTGCTGAGAGCTTTTCCACCAACACTTCGTTTTTCACCTTCTGTGTGTGTTGGACCTCCGGCATTATGTCATTTTCTTTTTTCCCACAAATGTTAAGGAGGCAAAGAATCAATTTATTGACAACGCTCCAAGAATGTGAATGAACAGCAGAAGCGAGAAGAAAACAGAAAACAGTCTATGAAGCCTGATTAGATCTGCTCCTCAAGATGCAAATCACCACAGGGCAAAAACTGACAGCTTACTATCATCCACGGATCTATTCTTATCTTTATAGCAGTTTCAGAGGCACAGCCACAACATGTGTTATATCTGATAGTTCTAAAAGTCCCTGCTCTGTGTCATTCCAGCCTCAGATTCACACACACCTGGATCCCCTTTAGGTTCACTCTTCTCTTGAGACGAACTTGATCAGGCAAGAAGAATTTGTTGTCTTCTGGAGAGTCCTCAGAAGTGGAGGAGTCATCGGCTTCCTGACCGTTGGCTTTTGGGCCAGAATTCCCAAAGGCCTGGGAGATAATGGTAATGGGAAGATTCCGTGGCAAACTCTAAAGATCAGAGGGGAACACTTTATTTCTTTATTACAACCCATGACCTTCCTTTAGAGTAATCTGATTGAACCTACTGCAACTCCAGCACTCCAGAAGCTCAAGCAGAATGTGGCTCCAGACCCAATCAGTAATTTGGGCTGAGATTTGTGGGGATTTCTGTTCACAGAATGAATGTTTTTTTCACTCACATTCCTAAAAAATATTTGTAGTTTCTACCTCAGTGTAGAAAATAACTGTTTTTCTGCATTTTTTTCCCTTCCATTTAAAGTCAAGCTGTGGAATTGCAGCCCTTAGAAGGCCATGTGCCGACAACTTGAAAAACACTATAGCAAAGAATTCACAACACTGACATTTAGTAGGAGGAGATTATTTTTTCCAGTTAATTCATGTAAAGAATTAGAAAATTCCTCTCTCCCTTCCAGACCAAAATATTTGCAAAAGCAAGTCTTAACAAAGGAGATGATGTCTCAGATGATTGCTCAGCTGTACCTGGTCGAGGAAGTTGCTGTCCTTGGAGAGGCGCCGCAGTTTGCACTCCAGGTTGACGATGCACGCTTCCTTACGCACCACCTCGATTCGGAGCTCATCGTTCCTCTCCTCCAGCTCCCGGATCTGCTTCCTGTATTTATCCTTCTCAATCAGGCAGTGGGAGTACTGCGTCTGAGCCTCGTCACGCGAGCGGAACGCCTGCAGTGGGGGCAGGAAACCGCTTTGGCACCGGGGCACCAGACCCTCCTCCTCTGCTTTTGTTTGTAAGGTGTTGGCAACGGGGACTTCAGAAGTGGTACCCAGTCACCCACTAACACAGCAATCACGACCAGGATGAGCCACGGTAGCACCATTAAAAATTATGATGATTATTATGATGATGAGGGTGGTTCATTTACAGCTACCTCTGGGTTTGTGGAAAAATGTCCCAGAGTACAAATGGGGTGACTTGACACTGACATAAAGCCTTGCAGGAGCTGCTGTTAAGATCCTGGTCCTGCCTGCCAGATGCTACACTGTGGAAACAACCCAACATTACCCTGTGTTTAATTACCATAATGCAAATCCCAACAAGTGATTCTGTTAACTGCTTATTTTATAATGGTATTTTGGGTCCAATTACCTACAATTCCCCAAAGTGACACAGAGCAGACAAAGGCTTTTGCTATTGATTTTCCCCTACTTTAACTGTGAGATACCTGGTCCCGCTCCTTTTCCACCTCTTCCAGCTGTATCATCACAGTGTTCATACGGTGCTTGTACATCTCACAGTCTTTTCCTAGTGTTGAGCACTTTAACTCCAAATCTTCTTTCTCCTCAAGGTACTGGAAATGACACACTGTTAACCACCACTGCTCTCAGAGGCATTTTGGCCACCAGCCTGAGATATTCCATCTCTCTACCCTTCCATTCCTCACCTTGTCTCTCAAGTCCTCCACATGACGAATCTCCTCTTGGAGATTAAAGATCTTGTTGACCAGCTCATGACGATCCTCCAGTGCCTCCTTACGGTCGTGTTCCAGAATATCCAAAATGGCTTTGTCTGAATCTGGCAAACCCCTCTTGTCAGCCTGAGGAAAGACATTTTTTAGAGCCAGACCAGGGAATCAGAAGATAGTTTTGCAGGGAGAGAAGTATCAGAGACAATAACAAGCAAGAGGAATAGCAGAAGAACAAGGTACTGCAATGGGAAAGCAGGAGAAGAGATGGACATTTGCTCACGTTTTAAAGCAGAGTCAGAAAAGATGAATAAAATCTGTCTTGCTGTCAGAATAGTCTGATGAAGGAACTGTTTTACTGGTCTATTGTACTGGCTATAATTTGATCTGGTCTGGATGCAGTGACAATTCTTCACTCCAAGCCCTGCATTCAAAACTCTTTTCTATTAATCAGCTCTAACTGAGCACAAAAATCACCCTTTTCAAAAGAGCAGGGTCTAAGAAAATATTCAGGAGAATTTTTAAGGCATGCACAGGCTTTTCAGGGCTGTGCTCAGAGAATATTAAACATGCCTGGAGTACCTTGTACTACTGCTTCATTTTCTACATTGTCCAGGAATATAATTTTTTTCAGATTTAAAATTAACAAGATTACCAAAGCAGGTTCCAGCACATTATTGCCATCCAAAATGAACCATAAATGGAAGATGAAAAAAGCATAAAATGCTAGCAAGGAATATGCATGTTTATTTTTGAAATACCTAGACTGAGTTGGAGATTTCAGGGACATTTTGGTTATCCAGTATTTCTAAGCATACCTAAGCATTTTTAAACCAAACTGGTTTGAGTTTATTTATACTTTCACTTAGGAGAATTTAAATCCTATTTTTAGCTATTTCTCTAAGTGCTATAAAACCATTTTACTTAATATAAGAGACCTACATGGACCAGAACTCCCAGAATCTTCAATCCTACACTCTTTTTCAACCTTTGAATTGGATTTGTGTTAGAACTAAGAATCGTTAGGCACTGCTAGAGGCTACAGCCATTTCTGAAAGGCCTCCTATTGACAATTTTTAAGTGTCATTTTAAAATGCCACAAGCCTTTTCTAACAGAGTGCAAAGTAATCTCACATGTATCCCAATATTTGGCAAAGTTCTTCACAGAGAGTCCTAAATGTGCTGCACATTAACTGTTTTCTCAAACTGCCCAAACACAGGTTGGTGAAGCTCCCTGTGCAGGTTCTGCACCCTGGTTCTTAGTGACCACTCAGGTACAGGAACCTTTATCATCCTCTGCTTCATTAAAAACTTTTGGCAGAGATATGACAACAGCCTAACATGGGGTACATTGAGCCCTTGTCAGAAATTTCTGTGCTGGCTATTTAACACAGATTTGTAGTGACAGGCTGCTACAATGTTCAGCAATTAAACACTGCACTCTTGGAAGAGCCAATTTCTCATGTACACTTGATTTTTTTAGCGGACTATTTTTGTAGAACTCCTCCTCATGCATGTGTCTGTACAGGGAGCACTCCAGGCAGCTGGGAGCTGTACAAGCAGCCTTCTGTTTGTCCAAACTTTGCACTTATGCTGCTTGCAGCTTTACAGGCAGAGGTTTCAGCCAACACTTCCTGCACTGTAACTGGAGTATGTGCGAGTTTGGATTTTAAATGCAGCAAGCTGCTTTTATACCTGAATGATGGACTGTAACTCCTGGATTTTTGTCTTCATCATCTCATTTTCCCGCTCCAGCTCCAGAACCTGTTCCTTTTTGGGTCGGTTTTCAATATCATTTTTCAGCTTCAAAGACTGGTTCCTCTCCAGCTTGCACTCCTCTTCCACCTTGTTCAAGCGATGCTTCAGCTGGTCAATCTAGAGCAGCCAGGGAGCAGTGAAAAGGAGAATGAGGAGAGGAAGGGAATCCTCCCTAGCTCTGACATCTAGTGCTCTGAAAAAACTCTCACTTCCAGGTGGAAAACATATGGGGGAAAATAGCTTAAACTGTGAATGTTAATGAGAAGTTGACAATTGGGTGCTGAATGTCCACAACTGAACAGGTGAAGTCTCAAGTACAAACCTGCTGCTTGCCAGCTACAACTCATATGGGCTGGTTGTGAAATTTCAGAATACCTGGACTAAAAAAGTGGCACATTCCAAATCCTCCAATAAATAAAGAGATATAAAATAGAATGAAAACCTAAGAGGCTGACCACACATTATGCTTTTTTGCATGTGGACTATTTGGATCAGGAAAAAACAGGAGAAAATTCAGGATATCTTTCTGAATAAATCCCCAGCAGCTGTGGTGCTGCTGGATAACTGTACCAAGATATTACTGAGCCTAAAAAAGCTAAAACTATGTTTTTAGCAAGCAGTTATGTTTTAAATGTTATTTTTACTTGCATTCTATTTTGTAAATTCATTTTTGGTCATTAATACACCTCACTGTGGTTGGCATTTCTGTGCAGTGATGCCTTCAATCATCTGGATAAGCAAAGCAAATGAGAGCTCCACATCTTCCTGCTGTCAGAGGAGGTCTTATTTTCCCAGATGCCACTGGCACCCTCCATTGCTGCCCAGAACATCTATCTCACCTCCAGCTGCAGGTCCCGGCTCCTTATCACAGCCATACTCTTCTCGTCACTCAGCTGGGCATATCTCATGGCCAGATTGTAGTTCTCATCTTTCACCTTGACCAGCTCATCATTGTAGTTATTCCTCTCCTCCTTCATCTTGTTGTATCTCTCCTGGAAGGTCAGCAGCTCTATCTTGTTCAGCTTTAGCTGCTTTCTCTCATCCTCCAGCTGGCGGGACTTGGCCAGGAGCTCACAGCGCTGCACGTCTTTTGTCTTCACCTGCTGCTGGAGCTTGATGATCTCATTCATTAGGAAATGGGTAAGGCCTTCATGTCCCTCCTCCACTGAAAATGTTTGAGCAGCTTATCAGTGTTTGGTAAAGTAACCTATTTAATTTATTTTATTAATAACGTAATAAGTAGGATCAGTAGAAACAAAGATGTAAGAAACAAATGGCCCAGAATATGTACAGAGGTGCAGAATTTACACAAATTCTCACATATCTGTATGTCTAATTTGGAACAGTGCAAATATTACACAGCACAATGGTATCACAATCACAATATACACACTGACAGCTTGCCTAGATAGAGGATGAAGCCTTCACGTTTGTCTTGTTTCAGCTGAGCCTGTAGAAATAGCACAACCTTTGTGCAATGAATCTGTGCAAGTACAATTAATCTGAATGCTTCAAATGTGCTGCACATGTGTAGGTCATCAGTGTAATTCAGTCCACTGTTCCAACATAGCTTCTCCTGAGAATTCTGGTAATGCCTATCATTCCATTTGAAGCTCTTCAGCTTCATTCAGACAGCTGGGATGTCCCTTTCCTTTATACATTACCTACCACATTTTGCTTTGAAGGGGACTGAAAAGCATTCTACACCAAGATTAGCTTTTATTTCCACTTCTTGCCTGAAAAAAACTGAGCCAGTCTTCCAGAGAGTCCTTTCTTACAACTCCCTTGTGATTGATTCTACTCACCAACAATAGTGGAAAATCTCCGTGTAGGCTCTTTCCCTGTCACCAGTTTGTAGAGTTCAGGGTAGTAAAACTCCAGGCTCTCTAAGAACACCACGTAGCCCCTCTGGCCCTTGGTGTGGAGGATGTCCAGCAGTCGGCCTGGGTACAGATAGCACAGAGGTGACACATCAGCCCCACAAGCAGCACGAGCAAATACCACATCCCTGAGGTTCCTAAGCTTCATCTCTGCCACAGCAACGAGCTGTGCAAAATCTGGCTGATTAACTGAGTTCAGCTGAACCCATAAAGCAATGCCACCAGTTCTATATGTTTGTGCTGATCGTTATTCTGAGGGAGTGTGGGAAAATTGGTCTCTGGAACAGAAATTTCTAAGGACAAGTTATTCAATGCAGCCTTTACCAGACAGAGATGGTAGATCTTCCAGTGACAAATCACAAAGTACAGCAAGACAGCTGAAAAGCTACTCCTGGAATGGCACTGCCTGCTGCTTGTGTTAACTGAAATATTTTCCAAGTCTTTGATGGAAATTTGAACTCCACAAGATCCAGTCTGCACAGCACTGGAAAGAGTCTTTGTTATCAAAATAGCAGCAGAATCCCCCTGTACTTTAAACCTCCTGTAAATAAGATAAAAGAGTTTCCATCTGATAATCTTTAACTTGATTCAGGCACTCTCCAGACTTACAGAGCAAAGCCATTCAGACAGAGATGCAGCCACTGATCAGATAATTACCTGCTCTGTTAATTTTGGAGGGCAGCATGAGTGAGTTGAGCACCTCATCCTCATCCTGCTCATCGATGACTTTGCACTGCCGTAAGTAGGGGGTCAGCTTGGCTGGGTTGATGTAGCGGCTCAGCATGTGCCGGTTGCACTCCACATTCTCCCACAAAGCCTCCTCCTCATCTTTCAGGGTCTCCAGGCAGTCATCCATCTCTGGCTCTGCTCCTGAACAAGGGACACAATTGACAAATGAACACCAAGCAGGACAGCTGCAATCCCAGTACTTTTTTGTGCTTCCATGTCCTATGGGATGAGCTCAGAACCACTTCTGACTAATGTTGGATTTGCCCAATATTGAAGCTGTTTGAAGTGCAGCCTGTCCACAGATCACTTGGGCAATGATAGTTCACAGAAGTGCTGTCTTGAGCATATGAGACTCTCCAGTGATGAATCTGCACTCAGCCACCTCCACCAAGCTCTCTGCAAGTCAGAGGACACCTCTGCTCAAGAGAGGCAATGGCAAAGGGCACAGTGCAAGGCAAGAAGGGAATGAACCTGCAGAGCTCAGAGCAAAGACAAATTCTGTCTTCAGGCAATGAAGGCTTTCATCCTTACCTCCTTTTCTCCTCCCAGCTGTACTGATTTGAACCTGCACAGATGTGCTGAGCCAGCGCCTGTAAGTGGCTGCACACAAGAATAGTTAAGGCAGGTCTGTTCTGCAGCTGGCTCTGGATGCACTGAGGGGTGTGAGTGCAGGTACCTGGGAGCTCAAACCTTGCCTTTCCCTGCAGGAGGGGGCAGGTAACAGCACTGTGTCACTGCAGTCTGAAAATGTTCTTGACTCATGCAAATGTTGTCACACGGTTTCTGAGTGCTTGCGAAGCAATTTCCTGCCAGCTCCTAATTTGTACCCACCTCATTAGGGAAGGTTACATGGCAGGCTAGAGTGAGGCAAGAAAACTTTTATTAAAATTAAAACTAAATAAACTTTGTAAAAAAAAATAAAAAATCCTTCTTTATTTTGTAAATAATATTAACCTTTCAACTTTCATTCTTGCATTCTAGCTTTCACAGGAGCTTGTGATCCAGATGGCACATGGAACATAAACTTCTATTTCAAGTTCAGAGACCGTGGTGGAAGAAGAATATGCAGTTCAGATCAAATGAGACGAGAGCTTTGCTTTATGAGGCCTTGCTGGTAATAAGTAACTAAAGACCTCAAAAACAACCATGTTGTTTTTCTCAGCTTCCAGCTTTAAGAACTGGTGAGCAGCCCTGTGTTACACTGAGCATCCCTGAGCAAAACCAGCTCATGAACTGCATAGCCAAGGGCTGTTCATTCCTCATTTTGGAAACTAAAGCCAAAAGTGCTAATCTGCTAAATAATGTGTTTGTCAGTGTTCTCACATAATGAAATACAGAACATTCCTATAAAAACAATGCATGCTCTCTGCTTGATGCTTTTAAAAGCTTTCCCAATTTGTCAAAAATCCTAGTCTAGGTTTCAGTATCTCTATGAGAAAAATTTGGATGGCTTGCCACAGTATGGACAAGTTAAGGGAGTATTGGCAGGGGCTTTGTTCTTCTGTACTCCAGCAGAGTTCTTTTCTTTGCAGTTTCACATCCCAAGAGCCACTTATTCCATGTTTGCTTTGATGCTTGCATGGGGATTCATTACTCCACTGACTGCTATTACATATTCTGAGAGAGACAGCAGTCCCCAGAGGGCCAGGAAGACCAGGGCAGTTCAATGGGATGCAGAATCATGGGGCAAGGCTGTAGTTAGGGGGAAAATCTCCCTGAGCTTATGAACTCCACACTGGCTGGGTGAAATTCTCACTGAATGCCATTATTTATGTGTGGTAAAAATGACACTGAAGCAATGAGCAGAATAAAGGTAAAACAATGGAGAAAAAGCTTTACAAAGCAGGTTGCAGTGGGAGGAATGCTAAAGGTGAACGAGCTTCATCTAAAATCCTCACACATTCTCATGAACCTTACTCTCCACCATTATTGTGGAAGTAACTGTGTTTCACTTCAAAGGTGAATTTAACAAACGCGACATAATTGGAGAAGCTGGACTTTGGGGAGTAGAAGGCAGGGAAGCAGAAGGTCACACAGTACCTCAGTCAGCTCACAGCCACAGCCATCCACTGCAGCTGAAAAAAGGAGAGTCACAGGTTCTTTAATTTCTGGGAGCATACCAGGGAGCTCACGGATGGACCTCCGAGTGCAAAAGAAGCATTTCCCTGAATTTCATAAAATGCAAGATATCTTGTAATCTGCTGCGCTGAACCAGAAATTATTGCACACTGTCAGCAGTTCCCTCAGGACATTAGTAAGGGATTTCTCCACTAAATGATTCAAAGAAGAGTTCACTCATCAGCGTAATTTTCAACATGTTTTTTTGGTTTTTTTTTTACCTGACATCAAAAAAAAATCTTTATCAAATAGTCCCTTGTGTATGGACATAATACATCCATGCTGTTATTTTGGGGACATAATGTTTAATGGGAAAGCAATAAGTATATTAGATGTGTGGCTAAGAATTTTAAAAGATTTCTGGTAGCAAACTCCTGCTAAACACGGTCTACTGTAAGAAGAAAGCCCTGAGAAATGACACTTAGTGGAGTGGTCCTCCACTGCCATGAAAGAATGTTAGACTCTCCCTTTTGCTTCCTTCTTGGAATTCACCTAGGAAATGCCCTGCCAGAATCCCAGGCAAGCTCTGTCGTGCCTGTGCTGCCCATCAGCTCCCAGGGATGTCACAGCTCTCACTCCTCCCCTTCCTGGAGCTTGAGGCCAGGCTGGTGTGAGAGCACAACCCCCATGGAGCTCCAGTGTCCTGTGGAGCTGTTCCAGAGAAAATAGCAATGAACAGCTGATATTAGTGCAGAACCACTCCTACTGAGCAAATAATTCTTTGATTTAGTATTTAATATAGTGTTGAATAGGAAACAAAATGCTTGCCATTGGTTGAAATTTTGGTGTGCTGGTCAAAAACCCAGATGTAACAACTCAAACTCGGTGGGAAACCAATAAAGGTCCTGTATTATTTGCTTTAATTTTAGAAGTTTTTTAGCACTACATGCATTTTCTAGGCATTTAATAATTGTTCCCTGCTTCTGTCCTTTCTTCCTATGATGATATTGCAGGAAAGTTGTTTAAATCTATAAAATGAAAAATGACAGATTTAAAGTGTTTTTCAAATGTGTAATCACTTATTTAATCTGATCTTTATTGCCATTATCTAATTTGTGAATCCAACACCTCTTGAGCTGTAAACTAACACATCCAGGAGTTGTGATATGTCAGAGAAATACTATGGCATCCATTACAAATCACAGGTGTGAAGTCTCAAACTTGGACTGACTTCAACAGACATTAAGCAAAAAGAAATCAGAAATCACCACAGCAGTTAAAAATTGCTCTCCTGCTTCTCCTTTCAGTAGTTAGTACACAAAATAGCTTTTAACTGCAGGAGAGCTTAATCCAGTAATAATCTCAGCTAGTTCCATCTCTTTCAAAGGTCTCTGTAGATGTAGACAAATAAAAGAGAGAATCCCTTTTTACATTAGAAAGAACACTCTGCTCCCCTTGTTTCCTTTTCTCTCTCAGGGACTATCCTTCTGCTGGCTGTTACACACAAATGAATCGTTCTGGGTGTTTGCTGGGTTTTTCGTGGTGTATTTTTCAGCTGAACAAATCACCTTGCAGTTAAAGCTGCTCTCTGTTCTCACTCAGACTCTGCACTCTCATATGTCAGTGACACTCTCCACTGATCAAGGGAATAAAGCCTGCAGGCTTCAGACCCAGGGGTTCTATAAAGTGCTCATCATCAGGTCACATCTAAAGCTTCATTTTTGGTTTTTGTGCTTTGTTTGATGATGGTGCAGAAATTAACCCTTCAGCTGTTTAATTATTTGCATCCTCAGGCTCTCAATTCCTGCCAGCCTGTCAATACTCAGGAACTGCCATGTAGCCAAGTGCAAATGCAGCTTTCAGCTCAGGTTTCTGATTTCCTGATATTCCCTTTGTGAAATATGAAAAAAGAGTTTTATCTTTGTACTGAGAAGCAGAAGAAAGTTTATTTAAAGAGGTAATCTATTGTTATGTTTTGGATTTCTGCATTTGTCACAGATGTTCGCAGATGCAGTATTTAAAAAAAATCAACACAGCACACAAAATGTTTTGCATATTTTAAGTTAATAAGAACAGAATTTTATGGTAAATGCTGAATATGAAAGAATGACATCTAAATCATCATACTTCAAAAATAAAGATGAAAACAACACTCTAAAATTGTGTATCTAATTATCCTCAGCATTTTGAGGGTGTTGTTCTACATCCTCTTTCTCTGCACATCTCCAGAGTCTGTGGGGCAATGTCTTTTCTCCCTGCAGTTTGTACAGCACCTCACATGACAAAGTGTAACAACTGGGTGATTTTCTCAAAAGCTGCTTGTGTGGATGTGTGCAGATTTGCAATATCAGAGAACCACAAAACCACAAAGGGATTTAAAGCTATTTTTACTTTTAGAGGAAAGTCACAGTTTAAAGTGTGATAAGGAAATTATATTCCTTTGCTTAAGGACAGGAGAGCTCTGTGTGCCCTCCAGGCTTTCTGAAATGCTGAATACCAGAAGTTTCCAATTATGTTGGCTGCTCTCTGGATGTTCTGTGCTACTGAAAACCACTTTTAAAAGGTTTAAACACTGATAAAGACGGCTAAATTTGCTTACCTATCCTTGCAATTTTTTTTGACACAGATGTCTAAATCCAGACTCCCAAAGGAGATGAGACAGTGTCTTCATCTGCCTGTAAGAATTTGCACTTTCTATCCTTTCTTTCTCCCTCAGTGTCCCCACCTGAAAACAAGGCTGGCAATTGGTATGTTTGTGACAAGGTAGGACTTGTTAATTAGTGACTGCAAAGCACATGGAACCACTGAGATGGAAAGCCCACAGAAGAATATTTATTATTAGTGCAGTTTTGTTACTTCAGATGGCAGACCTCAAAACACTTTCTGAAGGCAGCAGATCTGCTGACTGGGCTGGGTTGTATTTCTGTTTTGGGTCATAGTAATGCACATGAAAAGAACTATTCTGTGTATCTCAGAACCCCTTCTTTATACAAGGGATTCAACCAGCTTGCTTATTTCAACAATATATATATATATATATAAAAAAGGAGAATAAGAGATACCAAAGTAATAGAGGAGCAAGA